ACTGTAAATGAAATATAAATAATCCACATTAGGTTACATAAAAACAGCTTCATAAGAACTGAGCAAGCTCTTCTTGTCAATGTAGAGTGACGAAAATCAAAATAAAACTGTATAAGTCAGAGTACAAAAAAATATATCCAAGTTCAGTAATTAGCAGGGTTACAGAGAGGGATGATTCTACACTGAAACAGTTTTATTCTTGGGCTTTGAATGTAAGGAATTTAAAACACCATGACCCACAGTGTTCATTTTTAAAGACAGTGAGCAGAGGAAGAAAAGGCTCTGGTACTCGCTTGAATCCAAGCTTTCGGTTCTCAGAATACTAACATTCCTTATTCCATTGTAATAAATCTGTTCCTGCGTGCTCTTAGCTTCTTGACTTGAAGATCAGTGGCCGCTCATGTTCGTGTCCCGCTCGCTTTGAATAACAAACTCCTATTAAGTCAGCTCCACCTGAAACAGGGTTATGAGTAGCTAGGTATTAAGGCATTGATAGAAATCTCAAATAAATAGCTTCAAACACAGAATCGAATAACCAATTTAGAAGGAATTTCTCTCCTAAGCTAGAATCCAATTTGACCTCAAACTGACTGCGACAACTCCAGCCACGGCATCATGTGCGATGAGGCTCCTCAGTGAAGTGACAAGTTGTTTGTCTGGAGTGAATTAATCTCCCTGACACCCACATATCAAATTTGCTGCTTATTTATGACAGAGGGATTTAAAAAACACTTGAAAACCCAGCCTCTCTCAAACCTCCCAGAAACAGAGCACAGGAGAAGGTTTTTTTTTTGTTGTTGTTGTTGTAGTGATCTTTTGGAACAATTACAGAATGAAAAGTGTACATTTACAATTTACTGGGAGTGTGCCGCTTCATCGCTCATCAGTTGTGTATGTTCCCATTCAAACTGGAGGAGTGGAGCGCTTCAATTAACATCAGTGAAGGGAGCGGGAGACCGAGAGCTGCTCTCAATAAAACAAATATTTCTCTGAGCCCCGTGATTAACTCAACATAATCCCAGACAAGATGATATTGATTTGTGGCTGCCAGTATTTCTCTGCAGAGCAGTCGCAGCGCTCATTAACGCAACACAGATATTGATGTACGGAGGCTTAAGAGTGCCACCAGAATAATGACAGATTTTGACAGTGTTTAAATAGACTCAACTGATAAATTGAAAGATTGTTAAAAGAAAAAAAACTTTTAGAAAAAGTTTTCGTTTAGAAAAAATGTATTCTGTACTTCAAAGGAAACCCTTTATTTTCTATCGTTTCCCTAATCATCTGAGCCCGTTTTTGCTGTTGTCGCATTCTTACTCACTGTGGGCTCATTTTTCACTGCAATATAAAGTTCTGCACCTCCATAAAAACACCACCAACAGTTATAATGCCATGAATCATAAAGAATTTAACAAACAAAAGTTGATTTCCTTTATTTTTCTAACCCTAAACCTAGAATCAACACACCCAACATTTGTCAAAGTCTTTACTGAAACACATTTGGTACCTTCAACTAAACGGTAGCATTAGCATTGTGACATTTCCATGACAATAATACTAGCATGCTGATGTTTTCATTTCACTTTCTCCAATGGTTCTTTAGATTTCTTTTAGACAAGTGGAGCCACACTACCAGTATGACTAATAAAAATGCATGCCCAACTAAGTGCAGCACATCCACTTTAATTCTCAGCGAGCTCATACCGGGCAGAAAGTGACACTCCTCGCTAATTTATCTGCTCCTGCTGTTTGTGTTGACAAGACATCAGCCTATATCTGCACACAGCTGGCGAGCTGTAGGGAGTCTGCACACTGTTCAGTCCTGGCTTGATCTCTCATTACCATAGTTTATGCGTTGCATTCAGAAAGTATTCAGACCTCCCTTTTTGCTATGTGGCAACCCTATGCTAAAATCAAAAAATGGCGAATGCAGTTGATTGTACATGATTTGGAAAGGTACACAGATGTCTATATGGGGTCTGACAATACATATCAGAGCACAGACAAAGCCATGAGCTCAAAGAGCTGTCTACAGAGCTCAGAGAATGGATTGTGTTGAGGAATGGCTCTAGGAAAGGTTACAAATGAAACTAAAAACGGCTGCAGTCGAGGTAGATAAAGTTTGGAAAGATCATGACTCTTCCTAAAGCTGACCACCCAGTCAAACTGAGCAATTGGAGGAGATGACCTTGGTCGGAGAGATGACCAAGAACCTGATGGCACTCTGTCTGATGTCCAGAAGTAAAACCATTACTGCTGCACTGGAGGAAACCAAGCACTAGCTCGAAAACGTTCATCGTGTCTTCTTAGTGATAATATAATGTTCAGGTTCTCTATTCAGACATGTAGAGTGTGGTTCTTATTACCTGACAGTTTCGGCGACAACGCTCGCCTTCTTCATAGATGACACTGACAGCGGGTCAGGCAGGTTTTGACAGCCGGCACCTGCGACACGCCCAGCAGAGCCGCCAGATCCGCCGGGCAAGCCACGCCCACACCGAAATGTTGTGTCGTGGCGAGCCCAACAGACCCGCCAAATCCACTTACTTCCAGTTCAACAGCATCATTTACAGCCAAAAGGAGGGATTCGCCATGGGAGACCCCCTCTCCGCCATAATGAGCAGTTTCTTTATGGAGGACCTGCAGCAAAGAGCCATCACCGGCACCACTCAAACCCACCCTCTGGAAACGGTATGTGGATGACATTCTTGAAAAAAATCAAGTCTGGACACACACAACAGCTCAACAACCACCTGAACACCATGGACCCCACAGGAAACATACAATTCACACACAAGGAGGAGAACAACAGAACACTGGCCTTCCTGAACATCAACATTCACCACAAGGACGACGGCAGCATAAAGATCACAGTGTACAGAAAGCCCACCCACACTGAACAGTACCTTCTCTGGACCTCAGAACACCCAACAATACACAAACTATCAGTCGTCAGAACACTATACGAAAGAACCAGTTACATCACAGAAGAGGAGGACAGACAACAGGAGGAGCAACACATCCAGCAGGTGCTCACACGCTGCCAGTATCCAAAATGGGCTATCAATAAAGGGAAACAACAGGTCAAAAACAAGCAGAAAACAACAAAACAACAAAAAACAAGGAAAGCACAGGAAGCCAAGGACAACAACAAAACCATAGTAACACTAGCATACATCCGGGGGATAACAGAACCGATACAGCGCATCATGAAAAAACACAACATCAGCACTGCAATAAAAACACACACAAAACTACGTCAACTGCTGGTACACCCCAAGGACAAGATCGAGGAGGAACAAAAGTGCAATGTCATATACGAAATACCATGCAAGTCCTGCAATAACACATACATCAGGGGGGCAGGCAGACCATTTTACACCAGAAAAAAAGAACACCAGAAGGAATGTGAAAAGGAAACAGCCACACGACTCACAAGAGCACAAAAAGAAACAGCACTACAAGAACAAATCAGCAATATCGGACCACTGTAAAACAAACATTCACATCATGGACTGGGACGGGGCAAGCA